CACATCAGCATGTGTCTAAGATAATCATCCGGTGGCTGTTCATACCATCTGTCAACCACGATAGTCCACTCATTGAAAGTATGAACGCCTTTAGCTAGCACGTCCTCTAAATCATGTTTAGAATCAAAGATAAACTGAAATCTTTCGCTAGAAAGAGCAACACTTTTAACTCTTCCTTCTTTCTGCCACTTCCTTGGCATGTTTCTTATGAGGTGCTTCATCGGTTGACAATCTGGGTTTAAAACTCTCCCAATAAGACTGAGTTTATTCCTCTCACAAGAAAGGAAATCCGGCAAATCCGGCATATCGAAAGGCTCATCTTTCTCCTCTAGTGACATCTCCATTAGAACCCTATCCATGGCTGAAGACATCTCTCGCTATAAACTCTAACTGTTTCGAAAACAAACTCTGCACAGCAAATACTTCACAACACCAGCTTCACCGAACTCGAACTGTTTCCAAATCCGGCTTCGACGAACACCAACCTCTTCCGATAAAGAGAAAAACGGAGCCGAAGGAGCTTAGAACCAGAGAATTCAACGAGGCACGAAGAAACCCGAGACTTAGCACCAAACTTGAAAGAAAGTAACGAGACCCACCAATTCTGCAACCCAAACCGCCACTAAACTCTTTCACCGAAGGAAATTTGCAGAAGCACACCCAGCTTTTCTAGATCTAGCAAAGAGAGGATGAACCCTAGAGCAATTGATTCGGAGACAGAGGGAAAAGCGATAAAGCAGCTTAAACAGGATGAAAAAGGCTAAAGGGATAGTGTTTTAATCCAGTCACAGCTCTATTCCACACTAAGCAAAGACACTAGTTGGGAAAGAGGGTCTTGAGCCCAAAAAAGGGAAACTTTGACAATTTTCCAAATAGGAGATTGAACCCGGAGAAAGGTGTGTAAATGGGCAAGGATTTGCCAACTTAGCTGTGTATTAAAATTTGATATTTTAAAAAATGTTTTTAGTTAAGTGGTTAAAGATTCACCACTGCATTCTTTTCTAGGCTCATTCGATTACAAGAATTTAAAATCTAAATAGTCGTATTATCTCGTGTAATAAAAATTTGGCTATAAATCAGAGTTTATTAACGCAAATAATTATAACAAAATGATTTTTTTTTTGTATAAATTCTTTCTTTCAAAATCATATACTATTATTTGGGGAGTACACTTTATAAGATACTCTTAACTAACCTTCCCTTTTGTAAGAATTTACTTAAGAATATCATTACAAAAATCTTCTTTTAGAACAAATTTCATTCAATTTATTAAGGATAAACAAGTAAAATACTAATTTATGTCATTTAATTAATTTAATTAAATTATAAAACGAAAATCTATTATTATTATTATTTTTTAAAATAACCAATCAAAATGAACATATAAGATTTGATATCTAACTTACCATATTAATTTGTTATTAATCATTAAACTTCACCTCTCATCTTTATATGATTATATTAATATGAAACAAATCATCATATCATCTATATAATAAAAAAAGTAAATTTTTTTCTGCATATGCCAAGATTTGAATTTTTAAATACGCATATAAATTGTTCAATCTATAAAGGAAACAATTAAACGGGTCAAAAATTCAGACTTTAGTAATATATTTTTTTTACACAAAAATAAAGTCAACAAAAATTCCGACTAAGCAACGGATCAGAATTTGAATATTTATACTCGATTTCATACATTTATTTTTTTCAAATGTATAATTTTATATACTACAATAAAAATTTAAATATTTTAATTTGCAACATTTAAAATAAGTTTTACTTGATATTTTTAGAGAATATCATCAATACTTAATAGTTCAAAAAGTTAAAAATTATAAATACTCTAATTTGATTATTTTTAAAAATATTTATAATAGGTAGCGGGTTAAATATAATATATTATATGATGAAATGAGTTTTGATCCTTATAACTATTTAAATAGTTATATTTAATTTCATATATTTTTTTTTTGAAATTCATAATTTTATAAACTAAAAAAAAATTAAAGATTTTAATTTGGAATATTTAAAAATAGTGTAGAACATTTAAATATGGTTTGACACCTCTAAATATTTGAAAATTTGATTCCGCAAACAATTTTAGAATTAACGAATAATATATTGTGCACGCAATAATTTAAAATGAAATATTGAGATTCTAAAATAAAAATATAGACTCCACGCACGATTTGATTTTGGTATTATTATATACTAAATATATGTTTATAACATATTCGATTATGCGAATAATTGGTAAATTCCGTAATTATAAATCTCAAACAAATTCTGTTATTAGATTAGCTCAAACAAATCTCTATTTCAACAACCAAAGAATTATGAATTGAAAAAGAATTTTCTAAATTAATTCAAAATAATACCTAATTTTCTTAATTAATTCAAAATAATCTATGTTTTATATGCGATTTATTTATAATATTTTAATTTTTTGATCTAACTGAAATATATGCAATCCTATTTTGTTGTTGTTAACATAAATTAACTCATTGTTCAAAAAATATTACTTTTTAAAAAATAAACTTATTTTCCGTTTTCATATCTTAAAACAAATTATCCATAATTGAGTATTATAGAAAAATTTCTATATTTATTCTAATATTGTATATAGGGACTGATAAAAAAAATACTATTTTTTCACTTACTATTATAATATATTAAAACTTAATTCTAATATATATATTATATAAATTTTGTAATAAATAAAATTTAACCCATACTATCTAGTAGGTTTATATTAGGTGAAAAGAAAGATGAGAAATTGTTAAAAATGCCCATTTTTTAATACCCCTTTTCAAAAATGCCTCTTTTGAGAGTCCATTTTTAAGTTAGTCCTCTTTTAATTTTTAATGACTATTTTACCCTTATTTGAAACAAAATTAGGTCCACAAAATATAAAATATTTTTTGGCGGGAAAAGTGATCCCGCAAATTTTTGGCGGGAAACGTGATCCCGCAATTTTCCCGCCAAAATTTGTTTTTTTCGGGAAAAGTGATTCCACAATTTTTTTGGCGGGAAAAATTTACAAGGTATTTTAAAGGTTTTACAGAGTATTTACAAGTGTTTTGTAAGGTTTTACAATATATTTTAAAAGGTTACAAGGTACTTATAAGGTTTTATAAGGTATTTATAACTTGTAAAACCTTATAAAAAAACTTGTAAAATCTTATAAAATAGCTTGTAAAATCTTATAATATCTTAGAAATACCCTATAAATATGTTGTAAAACCTTTTAAAATACATTGTAAAACCTTATAAATACCCTGTAAAAACTTTTAAAATACCTTGTAAATTTTTTCCGCCAAAAAAATTGCGGAATCACTTTTCCCGCAAAAAAAAATTTTTGGCGGGAAAATTTTTTGGCAGGAAAAATTTTTACGGGAAAATTTTACAAGGTATTTTAAAGGTTTTACAATTTTTTACAAAATCAAATTTGTAATTTTGATGTGTGCACATTCTCATGTTTTCCTTATATATTTGTGATATCTTTTATTAAAAGAAGGGTAATTTAGTCATTTTGTACATAAAAAAGAGTATTTTTAAAAATGGACAGCCAAAATGGGCATTTTTGAAAAAGAGTATTGAAAAATGAGCATTTTTGTGAGTCTCCCGAGAAAGATCCACATATTATACAGCGTTTTTAAATGACCAAAAAAAAAAGAGAATTTATAGTAAATAGCCATGGATTCAAAAAGAATTAAGAAAATAGTCATGAGCTACAGTACTTTGTCTGTTGAATGTCGGAAAGCACGTGTAATTACACACATGCCCTTTATAACATGTTTTTTTTCTCGAATTACATGTGATAGAATAATATATCTCCTTTTATCATATTATTTTCCGGTTTTACACGTTATTTATAAAGAGCACATGATATTTTTTGAAAAAACACTCTATTCAGTTTAATATCTTTCTCTATCATGTTATTTTATAGTAACACACGTTTTTTATTATGATCACATGTGATTTTCTTTAAAAAAGATTTTTATTTTCTAGTAATTCACGGTTTTTATTAAGATCACATGTTATTTCTTTGAAAAAACACTCTATTCAGTTTAATATCTTTCGCTATCATGTTATTTTGTAGTAATACACGTTTTTTATTATGATCACATGTAATTTCTTTAAAAAACGATTCTTATTTTCTAGTAATTCACGGTTTTTATTTAGATCACATGTTATTTCTTTATAAAAAGATTCTATTCAAGTTTAATTTTTCTGTAACAATATTTTTTAAAAAAAAAACACTACGTAACAATGTTTTTTCTTAAAATTCACGACGTTTTTTTAAATAGCATGTATTTTAGTTAAATATAACATGTGAAATTTAGATCTTACGTGCTATTTTGAAAAATACCACGAAACAATGTCGCCTACTGTAGATATCAAAACAAACGGAGGATGGTTTTGTTATTTCACCTCTTCAGACAAGGTGGGTCCATGCTGTTTTCCAACAGAATTTTCTCTCTGTGCTAGTTTCTTAATTTATGTGTCAAATTTGGCTAGTTAATAATATTACAAAAAAACATAATCATGAAATAATATGTTTGCCTGACCCACCAAAAGTCCAAAACCATGTAAAATTTTTACCAATTAATGTCGATATTTCGCCACATGTACGAATCAGAAAACACAAAGAATAAAAACTAAAAATAGTAACACTTGATTATATTTATATTTATTATTTCGATAGTAACACCTGTGAATTTTATGAATATTCTCTCTTTCTCTCTCATTTCTCCATTATTTCAGAGAACCATAACCTCGTGGGCTCAGCTTTTGTCCCCTTTAAGTATGAACTAACAGCCTTTACCCATATGACCTAAAAACATTTAAAATCATTACATTTTTTTTTCTCCCCATAATAAACACTTGTTTGATTGGTTTTGTAACGCTCTCAATTATTATTCAAAAAAAAATCATTAATTATACCTTAATTATTTCCCCCTTCTCTTGTTTTTTCTTGCTTAAGATCACAACAACAACTTAACGGTATAAGAAAAAAATTAAAATAAAAAAATTTCCACCTTCCACCACTAATCACATAATAATTTAATTAATCTTCTTCTTCTTCCATTTATAACCTAAAAAATTTAGACAAAAATAAATATATTCTCTCTTTCTCTTCCATCAAGCAAAGCTCTTCAAAAAGAATCAAACTTTCACTTATTTTTTTTCGAAAAAAGAGTCTTTTTGTTTTCTCGAGATCTGTTCACAGAGAGAGATAAAGAATGGGTTTTTATGAAGGAGCCTCTGTCCATCCAAAAAACCCAGAAAACACAAACTCAGTGAATATTCCGATTCTCACTTCTTCATCATCATCACCAGATCTTGACGGAGATAACAATGACAACAACAAAGGAATCAAAACCCTTTTGAAAAAAATGATTTTTGATTTGGGTTTCGCTTGTTTTCTTCCTCCTTTAGCTGAAAACTCCGGCAACAACAATGGAGGTGCCGGCGGAGGAAGCGGAGGAGGAGAGAATAACAAAGCTTGGCTTTTGGCGGAAACAGCACCGGAGAATATGAATCCTGATCCTCATTCAGTTCATTCATCGTTTAGATTCAGTCTTTGTTCACAGATTGAGCTTGAGAAAATGAAAGGTGAAGAACCGTCTTTGTCTGCTTCGTCTTCTTGTCGGAATTTGTCGGTTTCTGGTGGTTCCACGACGGTTTTGATGGTGAATTTGGAGAATGGTGTTAAGGAGACTACTGATGATTTGCGGTGGACGAGAGCTAGGTCGCTTGAGAAGAGTATTTCTCCGGTGGCTAATACTTTGGTACGGTTTAGCTACGGTGAAATTGTGGCAGCTACTCGTAATTTCTCTAAAGGTAAGATCCTAAATTAGTAATTTAAGAAAACTGTAGTATTTGTTTGGTAATAAGATTCGGGTAGTAGCGGGTACGGGTCGGATACGGGTAATTTGTGTATAAGACTAGTATACAAGGGCTCCGATTGGTAATACGCAGTGGCGAAATTAAGATGAAATTTGAAAACTATTTGTTTGGTAATATGATTCGGGTAAAGCGGGTACGGGTATGGATTTGTGTATAAAACTAGTATATATACAAAGTATTATTCGAAAATATACGGGACGGTAATAGCGGGTAAGGGTTGGATATATGTAATTTGGGTATAAATTTGAGAAATTTTGGGTAGATTTTAGTTATTTGTTTGGTAATTAGGCTATTCATATCGGATATCGATAGACGGGTAATAGCGGGTAAGGGTCTGATACATTTAAATTTCAGTAAAAAAACTATAGTTTAAAATCACTACAATAACACTCTCAATCATTCAATTTGAATGAAGTTATTTCATGAATTTTTTGAGAGATTTTGTGTAAATTTGAGTATTTTTGGGTATTTCTGTTAACTAATTTTCAAAGTTTCAAATTACCTAAATAGGATATTTGAATGCTTTTATTTTGTTCTAAACGGATAATACGGATCGGGTATGGGTCGGGTTGGGTCAACCATCACAAAATGGACTACACTATTTGGTATTAGGAATTAGGGTGAAAATGAAAATAGTGTCTGACTTATTGATTCAATGGTTCATAGGAAGAGTGTTGGGAAGAGGAGCTTGTAGTTATGTGTTCAGAGGCAAAATCGGAATGTGGCGAACCACTTTGGCGATCAAGAGACTTGATAAGGAAGACAAAGAATCTCCAAAATCTTTTTGTAGAGAGTTGATGATTGCAAGCTCTCTTCATAGTTTCAACATTGTGCCTCTTCTTGGCTTTTGTATTGATCCTGAAGAAGGTTTATTCTTGGTTTACAAGTATGTCTCTGGTGGTAGTCTCGAACATTATTTACACGGTAAGCGAATGAATATCTCATTTGTGTTTATATACAGATATTGTTAAGCTGTTCTTAAAGACACAACGGATTTTGATTTTCTGTTTGTAATAGATAAGAAGAAGAAGAAAGGTGTGAAAGCGGCTTTTGGTTTACCTTGGTCAGCAAGGTACAAGGTTGCGTTAGGCATTGCAGATGCCATCGCCTATTTGCATAATGGAACAGAGCAATGTGTTGTTCACAGAGATATCAAACCCTCCAATATTCTTCTTTCCTCAAAGAAAATACCAAAGGTAATGACAAAGTCTTTTTCGCAAAACGAATGATGTATTCGATTATCGGTCACGGTCAGCAAACAAGTAATTGTTTTGAGCTGTATTTTTTTTAGTTGTGTGATTTCGGGTTAGCTACTTGGACCGCTGCGCCTTCTATTCCTTTCCTCTGCAAGACCGTAAAAGGCACATTCGGGTATTGATCGAAACTTGCCAAGAATTCGTTTTTCTCCTTTCTAGCCAATTCCTAAAGATTTAATCCGGTATCGAAACTTTCTTGCAGCTATCTGGCTCCAGAGTATTTCCAGCATGGTAAAATATCTGACAAGACTGATGTTTACGCCTTTGGGGTTGTGTTGCTTGAGCTAATAACTGGCCGGAAACCAATCGAAGCAAGAAGAGCATCTGGTCAAGAAAACTTGGTTGTTTGGGTATGTCATCTACTTTCACATCATTCCCTAACTACTAGTATTAAACTTGGTGACAGCAGAACTTGATAACATTTAGGATTCATATGTATTTATTTTATAGGCGAAACCGTTGTTGCATAGAGGGATGGAAGCTATAGTGGAGCTGCTCGATCCAAGGCTAAAATGTACAAGAAAAAACTCGGTTCAAATGGAGCGGATGATCCGCGCTGCAGCGGCATGTGTGATCAATGAGGAGTCCCGAAGACCCGGTATGGAAGAGATTGTCTCAATCTTGAAAAGCGAAGAAGGATTAGAGCCAAAAACACACTCAAGCAGGAAAAATACAAATATTTCGGGTATGATTGACTCGTATACACAATTGCAACAAACCAAATCCGAGATGAAATGTCATCTTGATCTTGCGATGCTCGGAGTAACCGAGTTTGAAGACGATGATCATGTGTACGGCCGATGAAAGATCCCAATAAATGGATTAAAAAGTGTGTAAATAGGTATTTATGAAAAGTTTGAAACAGAGTTCTTAGTTTCTGAATCAGTGTTTGGTTGGTGTGTGTACATTGGTTTCGGTTTTTTTTTTTGTTTATTCCACTATGGAGAAAACCGGTTTAGGTTTTTATATTTCCGGTTTGGTTATGGAGACAAAGCCGACTCTCCGGTTTCGTTTTCCGTTTTCAATATTTTTGGGCTTTTTTGAGAAATCCATTAAAAAGAGGGTTGGAATTGTTATTTATTTGATTAACTAAAGGAAAGTGTGTTGTTATGACTTTAACCGACTATTACCCCTTTTTAATTTTTGTGACCACGTATTTTAAATTTACTTAAGTAATGTAGTAATTATTAAAAATTGCAATGGATAAGTCTCATTATTATAATAATTGTTTTTGTTATTACTTTTGTGTTTCCTAAAACTATTTGGACTACGACTAGTATTTTTATTATAAATAGACAGAACAAACTAAACCTTCTAAAGTACTAACATTCTATCACCGAAAATTAAATAGTTCTAACATTCTATCACTGTCAAATTGATCGACCATAAGTTCAACGTGCAAAGATGAGATCGATGAATCGTCTATCGACTATCTTTTTTGTTTTCGCCGTTGGCCTTACCATGACGAGTAACACAGCTTTATCAGACACAAGTGCAGTGTGGATCAGAAACTTACTTCATGAAAAAAACGATCTCATAGTCCATTGTAAATCCACGCGCCGAGATATGGGATACCATAGGTTGCATCCAACAGGATCCTACAATTTGCTTAACGATTTTGATGATTCTGACGAGTTCTTTTGGTGTCATCTATGGCAAGGACCTAATTTTAAGCATCACCAAGTGTTTAAAGTTGACTATGGAAACGTATGGGAAGCTAGAGAAGATGGAATCTATTTATCGAATATACAAAATTTCCGAAATCTCGGTCAGTCGGTGTTCGTGTATGGTTGGGATGTTCCTCTGTCAAGAGCATCCTCGTTGGGATCGAGTTATATCTCTTTAAGCTTAGCAGTCTCTTCCTTGGTTTTGTTTTATTTTATCTAGTTTTGGTTTAGAAATTAATTTTCTTTATTATGGATTTTGGAAATTTGATTTTTAGTTGTGTTGGAATTTTTATTTAATTTCTTGATAACTTTTGTATTTTCTTTGAGTCCTAAATGAACTTGGATTTTTTTCTTTCTTAGATTAATTTATTACATTAGTTTCGACATTCAAGAATAGAGTTTTGTTGATTATGAGATATACTACAAGAAAAAATGATCAAAACCATAATTTAGCTACAAAAAAATTGTAACAATCATATGTTAGCCACAAACGAGACACAAAGTGATATCGTGACCAATTTGTTGCTATGTTGTAGCAAATTTGTGGCTATTTAGTCACAAAAAAATGTATGTGGTTGGTTTTGGCTTATTAGCAACAATTAGCAAGAGACTAAGGTTTGTTCAACAATGGATTGGATCGGGTGAAATAAAATGTATAATCAGAACAAAGTTTATACTATTCTCGATTATTAAGGTAACCAGACAGAAGTTTGTAACATCTCGGTTTCAGGAATATGGTGATGCATGCGGAGAGATTTAAAAGAATTGATTTGATCACCTATGTCACCAAAGTGCACTTATCTTTTCGGTCAACTGTTCTGAGAGAACTCCACAGTTAAAGGTGTTTGAGCTTGAGCAATTTCAGGATGTGTGACCTTCCGAAAAGTGATTGTCGGAACTGTGTGAGTAAGTGCAAAACATAGGGAAAGATCATGTGGTGATTTCTATAAAAAAAAAAAACTCCAGTGATAACAAAAATAAAAGAGGTGGGCTCAGAAGATATCAGATGATAAATATTTCTTCTGAATTGTACACCAGTGAGATCCTAAATAATATACAATTGTGCTCGTAGCCGATCTGATACTTAATGACTAATAATATAACGTACATGAAAAGGAGAGGAATGGTAGATGACTAGATGGCATAAGCAAGTACACCATCATGTTCAATCAAAACAAAAAAAGTACATCATCATGTCTCATACCTTATCCATGCCATCAAGAGAGCGGTTCGTAATCGCATATCGTCGCTGTAATACTAGGAATCACACAAGTTTGGAGGTCTCATTCGTCATTAGTTTTAAGCTCGTGGTGATGGGCTAAAATCAACATTACACGTTTTATCTCATATAATCTTATTTTTAATTCATTTTATACATAGAACTCCATTTGTTGATCACGAAATTTAACTTTATCAACATTTTAGAAAAAAAAAAACCTTTTTTACATAATTGATGAGTCAGTTTTTAATTAAAGTTTATCTTAGAGTTGTATTAAATGAGGTATCTTTTAGATACGAAGAAGAGATGGTAGCGTGATTCCAATCGCAAAGAGCAATAGGAAAATAGTGAAGGAACCTCATTTTCCATGGTTTCAGGTTTTCAAGCTATTCAAATTTTTGTAGAGTTAAACCCAAACACGTCTAGAACTGGCCCAAAGGACCAATAACTTAATTACGAGATTCACCTAATCTTAAGTAGATCGATATGTTGATAGGTGATTCGCTCAAGCCTTATATATGATCAACATTAACCCAAAATTTTAGCTCCATATTATGCGAGTAAGCAAAACATACTTGTGGATAGAAAAGTATTGTTGCACGAGTGATATTTTCCAGATGATTATTGTGTTTCGACCACTGTTGGCACCCTGACCTTCACACATGAAGTACATGTACGCAAGTAAATTTTGCGAAGCATATTTCGTGAGCCAAAGGCGTGAGAGCCCTTGTAGAAAGTGAAAAGCAATAAAAGAGAAGATTTATTTGGCAATGTTGAAAATCTATTATCAACATGAACACAGGCTGACCGAGATGTTGAAAATCTATTATCTCTGATAAATAGATTCCGTCTTCTCTAGCTTCCCATACGTTTCCATCATCAACTTTAAACACTTGGTAGTGCTTGAAATTAGGTCCTTGCCATAGATGACACCAAAAGAACACGTCGAGATCAACATCAATAAGCAAATTGTATGATCCTGTTGGATGCACTCTATGGTATCCCATATCTTGTCTCGTGGATTTGCAATGGACTATGAGATCGTTTTTGTCATGAAGTAAGTTTCTGATCCACGTGGAACGTGTATATGATAAGGTTGTGTTACTCAACATGGTAAGGCCAAAGGCGAAAACAAAAAGAAGAAACGATAGACGATTCATCGATCTTATATGTTGAACAAGGTTGATCGATTTTGCAGTGATAGAATAACAATTAGGGTTATGAGACTGAGCAATTGCAACTTTTTACTGGCTATTAATATTTAAGTAAATTTTAAATACGTGGCCACAAAAACAATCTATATATATAATGAGAGAGTTTTCTCTCCATCTAGAGTGTCCACATAGGCGACACATCAGCGTACACGTCATCATATTTTTTTAATAGGTATAAAATGATATCAAAAAGATTCGAACCCCTTACCTAATACATTTAATAGGTGCATTTCAAACCAAATTGTCATTTAAATCATTTTGGTTGATATAAAAATTTAAACTATATATATTGTGTTATACAAGTGCCATACAATTTATTTATTAAAACAAGAAACATTAAAAACAAAATTAATTCACATGCTTTTATATCATCATCTTTTAGTAAAAGAATTTGATTAAAAAATAGGATAAAAATACAAGTAGATAGTTCACTTTTACTCAAAATAAAAAATGATTTAATTTTAAAGAAAAATAAATATTTAAAAAATTTAAAAATAGTGGTAAAGTAGAAATTTATGTTAAGATAAGAATATTAAAAAATATGAAAAGAGATTGGTCAATAATTTCATTTTACTTAGAATAAGAAGTAATTTAATTCAAAAAAGCGCTAGGCGCTAAGCGGGCGGTGACCCAAAGCCTAGCGCCTAGAACGCCTAATCGGGGCCTAGACGATTTTTTAGGCGGTTTAGACGTTTATAACATAAAACATTATAAATAAGATATTATATATAAAAGTTATATAAAATATCTATATAAAACTAAAAATTATGAAATTATAAACAAAACTAGATAAAACATTTATTTATATATATATAAACAATATATGAATATTTATAACTATATATATATAAATAAAACTCTAATTGAAATTGAAAAAATACATTAAACAAGATCTGTGTGATTTTAGGCGGCAAGGCGGTTATCTAGGCGTCGCATAAGAGCCTAGCGCCTAGTAATTATAGTTAGCCACATAACATCACGTCAAGGGTTTGTTAGTTATCAAATATACCCTCTGTTTCAGAAAATTGTTATTATATACTTTTACACACATATTAAAAAAAACTATTGAAATTTCTATTATATCCTTTATTAATACTTTAAAAAAAATTATCTCTTATTAATACATTAAAGAAATAAGGTTAAAATTGGATTTTTACTCAAAATTTTGTATTGAAAATACAAAACGACATTCTTTGTGAAACAAAAATAAAACCTTAAAACGACAATCTTTGTGAAACGGAGAGAGTAAGTAACAATATAATTACAATTTACAACCCTCCTTTTTAATGGATTTCCCAAAAATAATCCCAAAAAATATTTATAAAGAAAAACGATCTAGGGAAGAAAATCCACTCTAGAATAGATGAGTCGGTTTTGAATTAACGTTGATCTAGGGAGTTGCAAGATTTCGTTGAACAATTCATTTACAACGCATATGAAATCACAAGCCAACATATCCACCAAAATTTATTATTCAAGAGATATAACTTTAGAAGAGAAAATTTAACGTTATCTCTAATGATATTATTTATACTAGATGAATACCCACGCTACGCGTGGGTTTGTTTTAAAAGTTGTTAATAACAAATTATTTTGATTGTTCTTGTTGCTAGTTAATTACCCGCTAATCATTTACTCATAGAACAACTACTCTTAGTATTAAAATACATTTTCAACCAACATACTCAACAATACATGACTCACACAATCCGTAAACAATCTTTCCTAAACCAATTTTATAGATGGTAATGTTGGGATTATAGAACCTCCAAAATTTGATGAACTTACGTACTCTTCACCCTCAATGTCATATATAGATAAAAAAAATAAGAGAAAAACTTACTCAAACCATTAGCTAATCCACTATACTATTATCCACTCATATTTTGAGTTAAGATTACAAAAATTAGCGGAAAAAAACTTTGGAGTATATATAACCAATAAAATAATTTCATGGAAAAATAACATAAAATAACAAAATAAGTTAGTATTAGTAAAAATCAATATGTAAAA